GCGATTTGTGTGTGTGTGTTCCCTCTGCGGCCTCTGGGCCCTCTCTGGTCATCGTCGCTGCGTCCCCGCAGTCGTTGCTGCTGGCCGCCGCCAGCGCCGGCGCCGGCGCCGGCGCGGGGGGGGGTTTGAACCCCCCCCCCTCCTGGATTCTCTGTCTCTCGATATCATCGCTGCGTTGGCTTCACGGCGGCCGCCAGCGCCGGCGCTGGCGCCAGGAAGAGGGGGTTTGGGATCCCCCCCCCCTCGGGACGGGGGCGATGGTTCGGGAGGGGGGGTGGTCGGGGGAGGGAAGTCCGTTTGGTTCTTGTCGACGGTGCTGAGTGTTGGGGGGGGGCCGCCCCCCGATTCGAAACGCGCCGCCGAATGTTCCCAAGGCAAGCGCCCGTGAAACGCACTCTCTCATACTTGCGGTGCTATATTCGTGGAGCAAGCTAAGAAGTGCGATCTAGGTTGTGCAATCGATGATGCGGAATGTACTTATATATACACATACGTTCATGTGTGGATCGTGTCACCTTTGTGGTGCTACAGTTGTGGTACAACCTACGCCGCGTAATCGTTGTTTTGAAAAATAAGTGGGGCAATACATATGGTGCGAGCTATACGGTGCAGCCTATGCCGTGCAATTTTTGTGTTGCGATCCATGTGTTGCTACATCTGTTGTGCGACCAACGCTGCGCAATCTAGGCTGTGCAATTTATGTGGTGTACGTCTGGCGCAGTCAAGGTTGAGCAATCTATGTGGTGCAATCGGTGTGGTGCAATCTATGCGGTGCGATTGATTTTTACCAATGATTTGACACATCCCACGCTCTTGCAAACATCCCACCCACCCACCCGCAACTTGGTTTGCAAAACCTCTTAAGACCGGCTACGACGACACCGACGACAACGACTACGACGACACCGACGAGGTCTCCGACGACTTCGACGACGACAACGACGCCGACGCCGACGACGACGAAGACGACGGCGACGACGCCAACGAAGACGACGTCGAGGGAGGAGGAAAGACGACGACGGCGACAACGACGACGACGACGACGACGACGAGGGAGGAGGGAGGACGGCGACGACGTGAACGACGAAGAAGGAGGAAGGACGGCGACGCCGACGACGACAACGACGAGGAAGGAGGGAAGACGATGACGACGACGACGACGACGACGGCGACGAAATAGGAGGGACGACGACGAGACGCCGACGACGGACGACGACGACGACGAGGGAGGAGGAGGAAGGACGACCACGGCGACAACGACGACGGAAACGACCACGACGCCAAAGAGGACGACGACGACGAACACGAGGAAAGACAGAGGACGACGTAGGCGACGACGACGACGACGCGGGAGGAGGGAGGACGGCGACGACGACAACGACGACGCAACAGCGCGCGCGCACGTTTTTGTTGAAAATCCGTGTTGCGAAACCTGGTGCGTTTGTAGGTTGTTTGGACACACGATTTTGAAATCCTTCCGACACCGAAGGGTTTTGAAGGTTTTTCGCATACGCGCGCGACGACGCTCGCGTCCGCACTTCGTCACATTTTGTGCATAGGATTCTCGCGACGGCACACGCGCAAGGGCGTTCGACAGATTTCGACATGCGCGTGCGCGACGCCCGTTTGGTAGCATGTTGTGAAAATCTTGGAAAACCTATGGTTCTCTCAAGATTTCGCAAGAGCTCGCGCGTAAGCTTTTTTAGTAAATCACTGTTACGAAACCTGTGTTTTTGTATGTTTGTTTTGGAAACTCGATTGCGAAATCCTTATGGTTTTTGACGGATTTCGGCATGCGCGCGCGACGAGGAAGTCTCAGGCGGGAGCCGTTGTTGTTGCAATCCGGGGGGCCAGGGGCCCAGTTTGAGCACGCAGATTTTCCATTTCACAAAAACAAGGTGCGAGCGTCCAGGGGCACAATTCGATTGATAAAATACAGCATGCACCGGTAAGGGGGGATCAGCTATAATTATTTCTCAGAACTGAGAATACAACAACAACAACAAGGATCCGCATCGCGGAATCCCAGTTGAGCCACGAACCCAGGGACAGTAAATTACCGTTCGGCCCCCACACCCTGGCAAAAAATTCAACGAGTCTTCCACATGCTCCAGTTTACGAGTGGGTGCGGGATAGGTCTCGGGTGGTTCGCGAGTGGGTCGCGGGCGGGTCGCGGGGTGGGTCGCGGGACGGGGGGTCGCGGGCCGGGTTCGAGGGGGGACGACGCCGAACAACAACAACAACAACAACAACAACAGCAACAACAACAGCATTAGCAACCAAACAAACAACAAGGATTTGCATCGCGGAATCCTTCTTCAGCCACGCACCAGGGGACAGTGAATGACCTTTCGGCCCGTCGCTCTGATGATGATGATGCTGATGATGATCATGATGATGATGATGATGATGATGATGATGATGATGATGATGATGCTGATGATGATAATGGAGATGATGGTATTGATAACTACGGCGACGATGCTAAGGACGATGCGAATTCTGATGGTGAAGATATATGGGGAGACTGCGGAAACTGGAGGACTATGCAGGGGTGAGGAGGACAATCATGAACCGCCTTGTGAACGTTCGCGGAGCGTGTGTCCATAAATATCCCCGGTGAGCGTTCAAGGAGTTCGTGTGCATCGCCTTTAGCGGCGGTGATTTTGCACGTTTGTCACACAGCTCTTTGTTTCCACGATGTCCCGTTCACGTTCAGGTTGGGATTGAGCGTTTCGCCGCAAACATTTTTCATCACATTGCGATGTTTCATGTTTTCGGTTTTGACGTTTTAGTCAAACATGAAGCTCTCGCTTGCGCCATCCCCATTCTGTACATATGCTACAGTCGCCAGCAAACCCGTCGGAACTCCAGAAATCACGCTCTCGCCTGACACTTTCTCGAACACAAGGGATACCTAAAAGGCTGTGTTTAGTCCTCTGGCGTTGAAGCTTTAGCTGCAGGCATTCGCAGTATGTAGAAACACAATATATATGTGTATGTTAGAATCGCTGGCGATGTTACATTATCTTCGGATCTGGTGCTCTCGCCATAGACATTTCTAACGTGAGATGTTTGAGCAGCTTTTGTACCGCATTTTCGTGGGGCGTTTTTCGAATAACCCAGAGACGGTCAAAAAACACCGATGCCGTTGAACCACCAACGGTTTCGCAATACTTAGTCAAACAATTAGCGATTCGCCTGAGACATCATGGAGTAAATCCTTGGGAATGGCATTTTGAAATTATGAAGTCACCACTTCAGAACAGCAGTGTTTTGAACTTTCTGGGGCTTCGCTTACTTGGTGGACCCCCACAACACGCATTTTGCTAGAGACATCTTCAATCAGTGTCTTCGGACGATGATGATGATGATGATGACGATGATGCAAATTGTGACGGTGATGTTTATGCTTGTGATTACGGTGATCTTCATGGCTTGTAGATATTATTCATGTTTTGTGTTGCGTTCGACCGTTCGTCTTGTGCCGTTTAGGCGCAGGTCTACATATTGCATGATGTACGTGCCGTTTGTTTCATTGTGTCGTTTACGTGTAACCTTCTGTGTTGTACCGTGTACATCTGCCTTTTGTTCTTGCCTTGTTTGCGTGCAGTATGTTGTGATATTGTATCGTTGACGAGTTTTGCACCCACAGGGGGCACGACAACGGAGCTAACTGCGCAGTCCGCCCCGGTTATGCGAGGTTACCCTGTGCATGCAATTCTACGGTCACCGTACACAACACCCAGGGGTGGGCTCCCGAAAGCGGGGACAGTTGCGCAGCGCGCATTGGGCTGTTATTTTGCGGTCGATCGGTGAGCGTGTGTCCATAGTTGTTCTTTGTCATGGTTCAGGGACTTGGCCCAGATGATATGTCGTTTGAATGTTGTCACGCACTGTTGGACTTCCCCTTCACTAGCGCACGCTGCCCGTTCATGTCAAGAAGGGTTCCAGTAGGCGCTTAACGTTGCTTTGCCCTCTCGGGCCGGTGGATTTCTAGTAATGTTAGCTAGAAGCCACGCTCATGCGTCGGCTCTAGAATATTTGTTGCATGCCCGCAAAAGATTGCCAGCATGACTTTTGCATTTTCGAACATTGAGCCATGGCTACAGCGCGCAGCCATGATGCCGTAAGCAAAAAGTGCCAGAGCCCTACGCAGTTCTTGGAGGTATGGCGTGCACTCGAAGCTGTATTGGATAGTCGATGCTATCAGGGTTTGGTGTCGTGACCTGGCGCTGGTAGCAAACAGGGCCATTTGGGCAGTGAAGGCCATCATGGGCTGGTGTCTGGATTTAGTGTTGGCGGCAACCAGGGCTTGTCGGGATGTGGAGAACAGCAGGGTTTCGTGCTGGGAGCCGGCGTCGGCGCTGCTATTTACACGGACTTGAAGCGGGCAGCGTCAGAAGGAACAATCGTTGTTAACGGTAGGGCCATGTGGGACCAAGTGGCCGGTCGTATAATTAGGTGTCGGGAACATGCGTTGGCAGCAGTCAGGATTCATGTGGCAAATTGGGCTATAGCATGCAGCCATCAAGGGCTAGGTAGCATAGACTTGGTCGGGGCTAGATAGGAATCAGCATGGCGCCTAAATCCAGAAGGCAATGAAGCGACTGGCGCAGCGTCCATTGGGGAAGGTGTTGGGAGGGCGGATGAATCACCGACCCACGAAATCTGCGCGTGCTTATTTATATTTTTGCGAGTGAGTATGTGTGTATGTGTTGTGTGTGAATGTGTTGTGCGTGTGTGTGTGTGTTGTGTGTGGGTGTTGTGTGGGTGTTGTGTGTTGTGTGTGATGTGTGTGTTGTGCATGTGTGTGTGTTGTGCGTGTGTGTCGTGCGTGTGTGTTGTGTTTGTGTTGTGTGTGCTGCGTGTGTGTGTGTTGTGTGTGTGTGTTGTGTTGTGCTGTGTGAGTGTTTGAAATGTCGATGTTTCAGCGCTCCACTCCACGGCCCACGCGTTTTGGCCCCGTCTGGGCAGCCTCCATTCTCTCAGCGCGCCAGGTCTTGGGGAACTTCAACCCGAGCAAGGTCCGCCTTGGGAGACGGGGGCCAAACCCTGCGTGTCCCGCAGGCCTCTCGACTCATGATGTTCTAACCTACCTCAGCCTTGATCACCGGAAAGAATTTCGAGCACCAGAACAGTCTCCAAAAGTCCCAGGGTTTTCACGTGCCGGTCCCTGGGAGGCACTCGTCCGACACTGTTTCGATACTTCTCCGGATGCTCGAAATCATTTCTGGAATGTGGTCTTTATGTACGATGGGAACAACATAACTCTCGACTTCTCTCCGTGCATTTGCTTATGAGGGAAATTCTTGACGCTTCGCGTATCCCCACCAGCCCATCCTACACCAGGCACTCGAACGAAGAGCGCCGATGATCGGCAGCTGTTCTTCTCCCCCTTTTCCTCCTTCTCCTCCGCCTTCTTCCTCCTCCTCCTCTCCTCCTCCCTCTCCTCCTCCTCTTCCTCCTCCTCCTCCTCCTCCTCCTCCTCCTCCTCCTCCTCCTCCTCTTCCTCCGCCTCTTCCTCCTCCCTGGTGGCGTCTTGGAGGTATCTTCGAACGGTTTGGTGGGCTCTTGGGCCTTGCGGGCGGGCGGGCGGCGCTCCGCCCGCCCGCGCGCAGGGCCCAAGAGGAGAGTCCAAGACGTCTCTTGGAGCCATTTAGGAGGAGATCGATCAACGAAGGAGGGTCCCTCAACTTGGCTCGCCCCCCAGGAGCTCCAAAAATCGTCTCCTGGACCCCTCTTGGATCGCTCTTGGAGCGCTCGTGGCCGCTCTTGGAGCCGTCCTGGGGTCCTTTTAGACGCCATCGGGGCGCTCTGGGGGGGCATCTTGGAGCAAATGTATCAAAGAAGAGCAGAGCTTTAATTAGCGTTGCCCCTCCAGACTGTCTAGAATCGCTTCCTGGACCCCTCTTGGATCGCTCTTGGAGCGCTCTTGGACGCTGTTGAGGCAGTCTTGAGGCTCTCTTGGGCCCCTGTTGGGGCCCAGTTGGGACATCTTGGCGCCATCTTGAGGCCTCGGATGGGCTTCGGAAGCGAAAAAGTGAGAACACCAAAAACATTGATTTTCCCTAGGGTTTTGAAGCATTTCGGCCTTTTGAGGGCACTCTAATGATGCTCTTGTGGGCACTTGGAACCATCTTGGAGCGGTCTTGGAACGTGTTGGAGCGTCTTCTGAACCATCTTCAGGCATCTTGCGCTATCTTGAGCCATCTTGGAGGCGATCTTGGGCTCTCTGAGGCCCTCTTGGAGCCGTCCTGGGCCATCTTGGACGCTCTGACTGCTCCCCGCCCCTCCTGTCCAGGTCAGTGGGGAGGGGGTAGGGGGAGGGGTAAACCCCTCCCCGAAGGGGAAGAGGGAGGGGTGGAAGAGGAAACGCCCTAAACCACCGACGCCCAGAAGGCTGCTGGGATTCTGCAGGCCTTGCGCGGCGCGTAATAGTTATATGATCTAGACCATCAATCAGCTCCGTAAGCTACGGGTCGACGCTCGCGCGGCGATGTTCTGGCGTCAGCCCGACGCAAACCCACAGCAATTCGGACGTGGGCCGACGTACATCCGACGTGGATCCGACGTAATTCGGGTCTCCAGGATTCGAAAGCTGGGCGAGGGCTGCTAAAACTATGGCTGCTAAAACGGCCCTCCCGGAAGGAAAAAAACATTTCCCGTTCTGAGGCGCGGCACGCGAAACAGTCAACGGGCTTCGTCCCGGAAGGGCGACGACAACTTTCCAGAGGTCGATTTCAGCAGCCACGGATTTAGCAGCCCTTGCCCGGCTTCCGACATTTGTCCTGTGCTTGAGCTCAGGCCATTTTCTGCAAGTCGGGCACGTCAAGTCGGGCACGTCCCTCTGCAAGAGGAGTATTCAAACAATAGTATACACGCTGGTCCTTGAAAGCAGGTATTTTTGGATTTTGAAATCCCAATCCACTTCAAGCGCCTTCCTACTTCAATAATCGGCATGCTTTTGCTGTGTTTTGTTGTTCTCTGGCAGGGCCTGGACCCAATCCACTATATCTGCCTTCCTACTTCATGTGTTCGCATACTTCTTCCGACCGACGTGTAACACACATATATAGCCTGGAGGCGATTTCCCGATTATTTCTTGTGTTATTGTTGAATATGTGTTTTGGCTATGCTTTGTCATTTTCCCTCCACAGTCCACCTGTAGGGGGACATGCCTGACCTAATGCCACTGTCGTCGTCGCTGCCGTTGCGGGGCCTTTTTGTGGCGGCCTGGGGGGCCCGGAGTTGTTTCTGGCGGCCTGCCTTCAGGAATAGGGGAACGAATAATGACATACACATACAAACTCGGAGGTCCGCGCGGATTTCTCGGATCCGCGCTGAACCCCCTTGGCGGCGCTTCCCGCGCTGCCCCGCCAAGGGGGGGGGTCCCAGCACGGATCCGAGCAATCCGCGCGGACCTCCGCGTTTGGATGTGCATGTCATGCTTCGTTTCCCTGAGGAAGCACACTGGCGTTGAGCAAAGCACGCTGCCGCCTCTCCCGCCAACCTTCGTCGTCGCGAGGCGTGGCAGGGCGGGGCAGGCGTCGTCCTTCAGCCCTCCCTTCCTTCTTGCCGGCCCTGCTCCTCCTCCCACTCCGCTTCCTCCTGTTGTGTGTGGGTTGTCTGTTGTTTGGTTTTGTGCCTCATGCTTACTTTGTTTTCTCCAAGTAGGCTTGCCCTATAGGAGTTCTAACTCAAACCCTACTAATTGGTCCGTTCCCCCCCTAATTCCTATGCCCCCCCTAATTCCAATGGGTATGCCTATGCCTATGCCTATACCTCCCCCTAACTCCTATGCCTATGCCTATGCCTAATGCCTAATGCTTATGCCTATGCCTATGCCTATGCCTATGCTTTTGCTCGCTTGCGATTGCTTGCTTCAGCTTGCTTGCTTGCGCTTGCTTGATGTTGCTCCTCCCGTCCTCCTCCCGTGCTGCTCCCGTCTCCTTTCGTCCTCCTCCCATCCTCCTCTCGTCCTCCTCCTGTTCTCTTATCTATTTGGAGTCAACGCTGGCTGATGCTGTAGCCTAGCTCTCTCTCTCTCTCTCGACTTCCAAGGAAATATGGGAATCTATGGGAAGTGGTGGGAAGACGAACAACAAGAAACTATGGGAACAGATGGGGGACCCTGGGATGTGTGTGTATTCTTTGTGTGTTCCTTGGACCTCTCGGGCCAGGCCTCCTGGGAGCATGTGGGGACCTCTGGATCGGCTGTCGGTGAAGCGACTCCTGGGCACGTGGCGATGTTTTGGGTCTCTCGGGGCGTCTTCTGGGCTGACGCTCTTCCTGCTGGGCAAACCCCGACCGCGTCCAGCTGAGATGCAGCGTCGGTGCGCTCAGAGTTCGGATCTGGATCGGCACGATGGCGCTTTCCTGCTTCGCGGTGGCAGAAGATGGCCCGCACCGGGAGTTGCTGCCGTCGGGGTCCTGCCTCGTTCGGGAAAACGCAAGACCCGAGTACGCCGGAACTCGGGTTTGCCGACTCTTTTTGACGAGCCCGCCCTGGATTGCGACGGTCCAGTTTTCGTTGGATGTTTGCAGCGGGAGTCCGTCGTTTTTATGATGGTCCCCTCAGGCCAACCCGAGTGAGTCCCCCCAAGCCGACTCTCTCACGTCTCCCCGAGAGTTGCTGCCGTCAGGGTCTTGACGCCTCGTGCGAGCTCGAGGTGCGGAGGCTCGGGGCCCTCGTTGCGAGGGGACTGCCAATTGAGCCTCCGCCTCCAGCACGTGCAGCGCCGGCAGGCGGCGCGGCCCACCGCCTCGCGGCTCATATACGACGTTGAATTGCGACGGCGCCGACGACGACTCGCGACGACGTCGGCGACAACGACGACAACGGCGGCGGCGGCGACGGCGGCGGCGGCTGCGTGGGCCCCCCCCCACGTTCCCCACTCGCAGCCTTAGCTTCCCTGGTGCGCACGTGTTGGAACGCAACGCGTGCCGTGCTCAAGACGTCCGCGCGACTATGTGGCGTGTTAGCTAAACGTGTTGGCCTGCCGCCCTGATACGCTTGTGTTGAAGCGCAACACGGGCCGTGTTCAAGACGTCCGTGTGAATATTTTGCGTGGTGGCTCAGCGTGTTGGCCCACGTGTCGGCGAGTGTCGCGTGCTAGACCTGCGTTTTCAGTCTGCGTGTTGAGCTCCGTGTCAACACGCTACGTGTAAGTCGGGCATGCCCCTCTACAGGTGGAATCTTCAAACATAGTTTTGAAACATAGTCAGGGGATGATATGTGACTACTTTCTGTTTTCTACTTTCTGTTTTTTCTACGATAGTTTGACGACTCTAGTATTACTATTTAAAATATTTTCGGACTATGCTTAATTTGTCGTCCAAAATCCGCCTGTAGGGGGGCTTTCCCGACCTAACGCTACGTGCTAATTACGTGCTGCGCCTCGCGGCACATCAGGCGGTCGGCGGCGCCTCGGGGCTGAGGCGGTGGGCCCCCCCCCCCCCCCCAAGGCCCGGAGAGGGTCTCCGACCTGCTCGCTGACAGGCCCTGTGAGCCTGCTGCGAGGCCACGGAAGGGGTCTCAGAAGGACAGAGGGTTTCTGATAGGGGAGCGCAAAATTACACAAACATTGATGGGCCTGTTGTCCACGACCACCACCACCACCAGTTGGAGGTGGGAAGGAGGTGGAGGACGAGGAGGAGGAGGACGAGGAGGAGGAGGAGGTGGTGGAGGAGGAGGAGGAGGAGGACCCCTCGCCCTCCAACTTCAGGTGGGGGAGCAGGAGGAGGAGGAGGAGGAGGAGGAGGAGGAGGAGGAGGAGGAGCAGAGAGGAGGAGGAGGAGGAGGAGGAGGAGGAGGAGGAGGAGCGACGACAGAGGGGCCGAAGGTCTTGGGCGCCTTCTACGAGAGGCTCTTGGCCGGCGGCTGCCTGGACCCCCCCCCGCCGCGCGCCTGCAGCTGTCGGCGTCGTCGTGGTCGCTGCCGTCGTTGACTGACGGGTCCATCATTATCCAGGTGTCCATACCAGAGGCCCGTCGGACCCCGTAGTTGGCCACTCGCTGGATCCGCCGAGTGTCAGCTCTTGACCAGGACCGGGAGCGCGATCCAGACAGCATAGACGCTACGGCACATGATTGTCGTGGCGGACGTCGGCGTCGTCGAATTGGTCGTCGACGTCGCCGCCGTCGCCGTCGTCGTTGTCGTCGTCGCCGTGGTCGTCGTCGTCGTCCTCGCGGTCCAGCGCCGATGCAGGGAACCGCGTGGGCCTCCTCAGTGTTTGCATTTGGGGGGTCTAACTTGCGTTTCTAAGCAATCGGCTGATTGGTCCGATGATTCGCCACGTTCCAGCTTTTGGCCGCCTCATAGTCGCCTGTTGCCCCCCGTTGCCGCCTGCGGGGGTGCTCGGGGTGTTCGACACGTTCTGGCCCGTTGCCGGCCATAATTCCCCACATGCTTAGTTCAGAGGAGCATGAAGTATTGATATTGATAGTTTTCCAGATTTTCAGGTTTTCCTGTTCTTCCGTGCGGGCTTCAGGGACGAATGGTCGAGCGCATTCCGTCGCGCAGGTTCTTTGCGTGATGTTCGTGGTGCATTTTTCGCGCATCGGAGCGCCCTCGAAGATTTCAAGCTGCATGCTGTGTCGCTCTTGGGGAGTCCGCGAGTCGCAGCTTCCGTGGCGCTGTTTTCGAGGTAGCCCCTTCGAGTGCTGTTCGCGGGCGCAGAGCGCGGCGCGCGCTGCGCCCAATCGCGCGGCGCGGCGCGTGAATCAGCCGGCCGCGCCCGTCGGACCGCCCGGACATTACTTCTGGATTGTAGAATGTGTCAGAAAACGCTTCCGCTTTCTTTGGCGCAAGCGGCTCCAGAATTTTTCAAAAAGGAGCCCGGAAATTTTCAAGAAAACAGTTCGGAGGGGCGGAATGCGCCCGCCGCGCAGGACATCTGAAGAATTCTGAAATCCATAATTTTACAAAATGGCTTCCGGAATTTTTCAAAACCGATCCCAGAAATTCTCAAAAACGATTCTGGCATTTTTCAAAAAGTAGGCCGGACGCGCTCAAAACCGTTAGTTGAACAATTTTTACCTTCGGAGAATGTGCCAGAGTCGCGCGTGATTTGCCTTGCCGGGTATTGGAAACCGCCGAGGCGCGCGCTGCGCGGCGGCGGGCGATGGGACGGCGCCCTACCGTCCCCCCCGCGGTCGGCCACGAAAAGGGCGGTCAGCGAGTGCCACATAGCCCCTTACGGGCGACCGTTCAATTGCGAATGGGTGACCGACCAGCGGCGCCAGCCAGAGTAGACAATCTTCGACGCAAAGTGTACCCCGCGCGAAGGCTGTTAGAACTCCTGGGATCTCCTGAAAGTATCAAAAGCACGCTGTGCCAATATATTCTTCTCGTCCCATTAGTGGGGTTATTGTTTCCTCTCGCGTCGCACCAGCGTTTCTCGTCACCCCTCCTCCGTCTCCCTCAGCATTCCTCACCTCTCCTCCTCCATTCCTCCACGCTCATGCGCGCATGAGACACATGCACAAGGCATGCCACACGTGCGCGCGCGCACTGGCCGCGCATGCGCCTCGATCGCCAGAGGCAGACGCAGCGCATCGGTATATTCTCGACACTGCTGGGGTGCGCACAGGGTGGTCCTTGAGCGCGGCCGCTATGCGCCCCGGTCGTCCAGGGCATAGCCGGCGTTGCATTTTCTCGACACCGTAGGGGGTGCGCACGGGGTGGCCTCTGAGCGCGGCCGCTATGCACCCTGGTCGTCCAGAACATAGCAGGCGTGGCGTTCGCTCGACACCATAGGGCTGCGCAGGGTTGGTTTCTGAGCGCGGTCGCCATGCGGCCCGGTCGTCCGGGGGATAGCAGGCGTGGCGCTCTCTCGACACCAAAAGGCGTGCGCTGTTTTTTTTTTTTTTTTTTTTTTTTTTTTTTTTTTTTTTTTTTTTTTTTATATATATATTATTATTATTATATATATATATATATATATATATATATTATATATATATATATATATATATATATATATATATATATATATATATATATATATATATATATCCTGAGCGCGGCTGCAATGCGCTCCGGTCGTCCAGGCATAGCAGGCGTGGCAGTTTCACGACACTATAGGGGGTGCGCAGGGGTTTTCTGTGAGCGCGGCCGCTATGCGCCCCGGTCGCTGTCTTTGAGTATGGCCGCTATGCCCCCGGGTCGTCAAGGGCATAGCAGGCGTTGGATTTTCTCGACACGATAAGGGGTGTGCAAGGTGTGGTCTCTGAGCCGTTGCTGCGCACGGGGTGGCTTGTGAGCCCGGCGCAAAGCAGGCGTGGCATTTTCTCGACTCCGCAGGGGGTGCGCAGGGGGTGGTTCTCAGCTCGGCCGCTATGTGCTTTGGTCGTCCAGGTATGGTATAGCATCGCATGAGTAGCACCTTCTCCACACCACTGGGGGTGCGCAGAGGGTGGTCTCTGAGCGCGGCTGCAATGCGCCCTGGTCGTCCAGGCATAGCAGGCGTGGTAGTTTCTCGACACCATGAGGGGGTGCGCAGGGGGTCGTCTCTGAGCGCGGTCGCTTGCGCCACGGTCGTCCACGTGTACCAAGCGTGGCAGTTTCTCGACACCATAGGGGGTGCGCAGGGGGCTGGAGTCTCCCAGGGCGGAGCGCGCATGGAATTTACCCGAAGCCACAAGGGCTCGCCATCATCCCCATGTCCGCGCTGCCACCGCCGCGCGGGCAGCTTGAGAAACCAATGCCAGAAATGGTGCAAGATATGGTCGCCGAGCTGAACTTGGATGGTTTGTGCGGACATGCTGTCAGGCATGGGACCGTTTTGAAACATAGCACATTTGATGCTTACCACAACGATTTCGTGGTAGTCGTACTCGTACTAGTGGCACTGATGGCGGTATTGGTAGCGCGGTGCACGCAGGACAAATATGTTTGTGGTTTTTCTCGGTGACGCAATAACTTATTGCTGTTTGTCCACGTTGATTCACATGCTTCTGCAGTCGGACCGAGGTATCAGATCGAGGGCGGTTCGGGGAGGGTGCCCGAATGTTCTTCGCGTTCGTTGAATGTTATAGTGCGCCCTGGTGGGGGGGCGGCCCTTGGATGTTTTGTGTGACTTGGCCATAAGTGGGCGGTGGGTCTCGCGCGCTTTTGCGATTTTCTGATGTCCGAGGTCCGAATGCGTGCTTGTCAATATTCTACAACCCTCCCTGGCCAGAATCCTGGGAGCCGCGCTTTGCAGAGGTAGCCTCGCGGGGGCGCGGACGCGAGAACGCCAGTGTCGCGCGCGTCGCGAGGCGCGGCTCGTTTGGTAACCGTGGAACCCGTTCGGAGTCAGTCACCGGGCCCCTCTCCAGGGCTCGTCCTTCGGAGGAGGCGTATTGGAGGGGCGATAAATGGGGGGGGGGCAGCCAGGGCTGCAGAAAAACAGCCGCGAGGTCCCCTACCGGGGCCTTTTTCGGGCCCAGAGGGGGATACATGGCCCGAAATGGGAGCGTTTCCCCCCCCTGTCTATCCCCCCGCTAACTCGCCCCCATGTCCGGACCAGATCATTTCCCACGGTCGATTCATGGCAGCACCGGGGGGCCGAGTGGGCCCTCCCCTTAGGAAGCCGACAGCGACGACCAAATGCCGCCGCCTCCGCTGCGGTCGTCGTGGCCGCCGCCACCGCCGTTTTTGCCGTTGCCACCGCCGCTTGAGCCATCGTTCGAGTGGGGGATCAAGTGCAGAACTGATTTGTCCCAGAATTTATTTCTCTGTCGGATCTGTTCAAAAATCGTGGAATGCTCCAGGATAACGGAAAGAGCGAGGTACGAGTGATGATGTTGTGTTTTGGGCGAAGCCCTTAAGGGGGGGTTCCAGAGGGGGGGTAGGGGGGGGGAATGGGCTCGAATGGCAATTGTCTTGTTTTTCTAAAGGTTTTTGCATGTTTTCCGGGTTCCCCCCCAAGACGGCCCAAGAGCGCTCCAAGAGTGCCCAAGACCGCCCAAGACAGCCCAAGAGGCCCCCAAGAGGCGCCCAAGGGGCGTCCCAAGAGGGCCCCAAGAGGCCAACATCATTGATTTTCGAACGGGAAACGTATATTTCTGGCATATACGGATTTTCGGCTCCACGGCGTTGACGACGGCCCAAGAGGCCCCCAAGACCGCCCCAAGACGGCCCAAGAGGCTCCCAAGAGGCCCCCATATCGAACGGCCCAAGAGGGCTTCAATACGGCCCAAGAGGCGCCCAAGACGGCCAAGAGGACCCCAAAACGGCCCCAAGAGGGGGACCACGAACCGAAAAGTCTAGCTTTTCGTCCCAAGAAGTTCCCGGGAGGCCCCCAAAACCCCCCAATAAACCCCAAGAGGCCCCCAAGAGGCTCTCCAAAAGGGCGCGACAGGGACCGCAATAGGACTCCCCAGAAGGCCCAGAGACGCCAAATAGAGAGCGATCAGTAACGCAAAAAGCTTTTCACACCAAGGCTCCCAAGAGCGAACGGTGACGGAAACAAGCTGATAAGACCAAGGCTCCCAGCAGAGAGTGATGACGTAACAAGTTCCTGACACCAAGGCCCAAGGCCCAGCCAAGGCTCAGGAACGGGCGGCAACGCAACAATCTCTGAACACCAAGGCCCCCGCGAGCGAGGGGTGACGTAACAACCTCTCAACGCAAAGGCTCCCAGTACGAACGGTGGTGTGAGTAATTTCGGTTTCTGTTTCTGACGCGTTCTTTCCGTTTCTGTGCCGGGCCAGGTCTACGGAACAGTCTACCCTATCTAATGGCCGTCGGCCCATTCCGCCACCGTGCCTGGGTTGCGGGTATGTAGTTTATTTGATGTTTGTTTGGGTTTCGTGGAAGGTTTGTGGGGGACCTCTTGGGGGCAGTTTGGACGCCTTTGAGGGCCTTGTTTGGTGTGTTTCTGGGACCTCCTGGGCGCCTCTTGGGGCCTGATGGTGGTTTCTTGGGGCGGAAGGTTGTGATGTTCGGTTCGTGTTCCGTGTGATGGGCTTCTTTTGCGGCCGTCAGGGGGCCTTCTTAGGATGTTATGAGCGTTTCTTGGCCTGCCTTGGGGCCCTTTGGGAACGTTTTGGGGGCCCTATTAGAGGCCTCTTGAGCCGTCTTGGGGCGATGCTGGGGGGTTCTAGGGCCGTTTGCGATCGTCGGTGAGCAGAAGAGGCGAGAACGCACAACTCCGTGTGTGTTTCTATATATATATATACACAAACATACATAGATAGAGAGAGTGAGAGAGAAAGAAACAGAGAGAGAGAGAGAGCGAGAAAGAGAGTGAGCTCTCCTTTTTTTTTTTTTTTTTTCTCTCTCTCTCTCTCTCTCTCATGTATACTTTTTGTTGTTGTTTCCTTTTTGGTGTTTCTCTCTCTCTCTCTCTCTTTCTATATATAAACACACATATAGATTCGTTCATATATTGGAAATCAATGGTTCGGCCTCCTATGGCCCTCTTGGGAGGCCTCTTGGCGGCCTGTGTTGGCGTCTCGGAGGCATTTTGGGCCGTCTGGCCTGTATGGGCGTGTCGGGGGCATTTTGGGCCGCCTGGGGGCCATCTTGAGCGTCCTGGGGCGATCGTTCGGCGACTCGGGGCCTCCTTGGGCCGTCTTGGGGTCCTCTTCGGGCTCTCTGTGGTCTCTGGGCTCGAAAGAGTCACGCGCCACGTCGCGACGGGCAGTGGAAAGCCCCGGGAGATTTGAAAGCGAGGGGGCCGAGCCCTTTCCAGACTCCTCATGAGTGAGGACTGAGGCCCATGGGATTGGTCGAAGGACTTGGGGATACGCTCACTCCGTGCCCGAGGCACGGTGGCGGATTTGTTTTGCAAATTCTAAGGAACAGTCAAGTTTGGGGCAAGCCAATTCTGTAGTCGATCCTCTACTCAAGTCGTCCGCCGGCCGCCGCCGCCGCCGCCCGTCGTCGTCGTCCCCCGTCCCCCGAGATCCGACGACGCAGAAAAAACGCAACCGCATGACAAATCATGACTAGAGCCCCCGACCCCATTTTTGATATCATTTTTCGAGCCGGACGGGTCGCTGAGGATGCCAGGGTTCGAAACAGGGCAAACTTGTCCAGCTTAAGAAAGTTGCGGCGCCAGGATCTTAGGCTTACGCAATTAGGTCGGGCATGTCCACCTACAGGCGGATTTTGAGAGGATATCGAAAAATACCCAGAAAATTCAACCTCAGCCAAAAATATTCAACAAAGCTTCCTGTAGAAGGACATACCCGACTTGCTCTTAGAGTCCGCCGCCATCCGCAGTCCGCCGCCATCGTCATGGCCGTCCATTGGCCGTCGGGCGTCTATCGGCCGTCGTCCTCGACCATGTGCAGGGGGGGTAGTGGGAGGGGCGTAGGCTTCTTACAGTGGAGACCCATGCCAAGAAACTCCCTGCTTACGTCCAGGGTGCCCTGGGTTTCTTGGGTTCTGATGGTTTCGCCATGGAGAGCGCGACGTTCCCTCGCCCCCCCCGAACAAAAATGGACATCCTGGGGTCTCAGGGTTGGGTTTCGTGTGGAAGGTCTCTCGTGGTCGGGCCCCTCCTGTGGAAACACCCCTGCCTCTCAGAAGACGCGGGCCTTGTCTCCAGGTGTGAGGCCAGCGCCTTCTAAGAAGCAGACTCCTTCTAAGAAGCCTTTCCCCCTCCCTCCCTCCTCCTCCTCCTCCTCCTCCTCTCCCTCCTCCTCCTCCTCCTTCTTCTCCTCTTCCTCCTCCTCCTCCTTCTTCTCCTCTTCCTCCTCCTCCTCCTCCTCGTTCCTCGTCCTCCTTCTTCTCCTCTTCCTCCTCCTCCTCCCTCTGCGCGCCGCCCACGTCCTTCGGCCGCCGCCGCCGCCAGAGGGCGGCGCTGCCCAGGCCCCCGGCGCCCTCGCGGCCGACCGGCTCGCCGAAGTCGACCTCTCGCAGCTGGGGGGCGGCACCGCCGCTGGCCGCCGCCGCCGCGGGTGCCGCCGCGCGCGGCCTCCGGCGAGGCTGTCGAGGGCGGAGGTTCCCACTGGGATCGGCGCGGGGGTTGCCGAGGGGCTCGGCAGGGCTCGTTTCTGTTCCTCCGACCCGATTCGATTTCGGTGGCGTCCGATTCCGATTCGAGTCGACTCGGGATTCCGATTTGGGCTCCGAGTTCTCGCTGCAGGCATACTGGCCTGCAGATTTCCGCCGATTCGTTGTTTCGACTCTTCCCGACTCGGCTGCCGATTCCGCCGATCCGATGCACTTCGATCGCCGATCCGACTTGTCGATTCGATTCTGGGCTCTCCTGGATCGGGGGGCGACTGCCAGTTTCTGACATATGCATGATGTTCTCCCCCCTCGGAGCTGATGAATGGAACCAGCGAGGCGCGAAACAATTTGTTTGACCACTCGCGCCATGGGGTCGTCGCGGGCGCCGCCGAGGGGATCGTGTGCCTCCTGGCACGGCAGCCACCGAGCGACTGCCTTTTCGCACAGAAGTTGCTATAGGGATCGTGCACATCCGAGGCGAAGATTTTCCCCAGTCACAGTCTCGTCGGTATGGACGTCGTCGTCGTCTTCGGCGACTATAGCGGTCTTGCGCAGCACACGCCCCCGTCCCATGGCCTATGGAGCATCTGCAGTGCGTCGTCGTCCGTCCGTCGCCGCCGCCGTTGCCGCTGCGCCGCCTCTGCCGCCGCCTCTGCCGCCGCCGCCGCTGCCGCCGCCGCCGCCGCCGCCGTCGTCGTCGTCGTCGTCGTCGTCGTCGTCGTCGTCGTCGTCGTCGTCGTCGACTGCAGCGGACGTCGAAGCGCAGCACCCCCCTGGGGCCTCCGCAATGCGTGGTCGTCGGTCGTCGTCGTCGTCGTTGTCGTTGTCGTTGTCGTTGTCGTTGTCGTTCGTTGTCGTCGGCGTCGGCGTTGGCGTCGTCGTAGTCGTCTGCGACGATTCAGCGGTCATGCGCGGCACCCCCCCATGGCTTATGGAGCATCTGCAATGCGTCGTCGTCCGCCGTCCGTCGCCGCCGACGCCGCCGCCCCGCCGCCGTGATCGTCGTGATCGTCGTCGTCTTCTTTTTCGCCCCGATCCATTTAGCAACCCCCGCGCATCTCCTAGCAGACCCCCTCGCGAGTCGCGAGGAAATCACGACGGGCGGCTTTTGCCATTTTCGGCCTCGGGGGGGCCCGTACTAGTCCTCAGGGTCGCCGGAAAAGGATTCGGAATGAGAAGCGGTCCCCGTGAAAAGGTCCAGATCTCGGGGGGGCCAGATCGTGAAGAAATCACGACGTCGGGGGTCAGGGTTCGAGGTTCGAGGATTCGTGGGTTTTTGACCCTGTCGTCGCCGCAGATGTTTTACCCTCAAAATTATGGTCGGGGCGCACCGCAGGACACAGGCCCAAGTGCAGATGTTTGACCCCCCGGGCCTCGCCCGATCGATCCGATTCGAGATCGGTTTTGGTCAGCCCCGAGTCGATTCGATCAAACGATTTCCCGTCGACCCAGTGCGGCTCGATGCCCGTGTGGCGCTGCATCCTGGCGCAGCCGATCCGGCTCGATCCGGAGTCGGTGCCAGCGTTGCCCGATCCGACGCGCATTCCGATGCCAGTATTCGGTGCTGGCCGATCCTGTCCCAGGCGCCTCGGGGAGGCGAGAGCTAAACAGCTGGACTTACACTGCTGACACGAAGGTTAAAACCATCCATTCTGGGGTCGGCGCGGGGGCTGCTCAGGGGATGGGTCATGTCCAGGATTCGCTCAGGGGAGTGAGCGATCCAGGCCACGCGGGCTCCGCACACTCAGAGGAGTCATTTTGCGAATCCCTTTCCTGGGATATTTGCAACCCGCTCAGAAGCGAGGTTGGGCAGCCATCGCCCACTTTGGCATCCACTGGTCATCCCCGCATCGCCTCAGCAAACCCCCGCGCCGATCCCAGCAGCTCTCGGTGGGGTGCCCTGATGCGTTTCTTGCTTGGGCCCTCGGCCCTGGAGTGCCTCTCGATGCGGGGCATCTCCGCGAGATCTTCGACCTCGGCGAAGGGGCTCACGCGTTCTCGTGGCCGCTTTGCGGCTGTACCCAGGCCTCCTTTCCGCCGTGTGACGAGACGACCACGACCGCGACCACGACCGCGACCACGACCGCGACCACGACCACGATGACGGCGGGCCTCTGGCCTCTTTTGCGGCCCTCGGAGGCCCCTGCTGGGCTCCAGGACCGCCAAAGAGGGACATCAGGACGAAGCGGCGGTGTGGGCGCAGTGGAGAATAGCACGATGTCGGAAGAAGGCACAGTCGGACCGAGGTATAAGGTCGAGGTCGGCTCGGGAGGGGTACCCTGGTACACTTCGTGTCGGTTGGATGCTCTTGCGCATCTTGGGGAGGTTATCCGGGAATGGTTTGCTTGTTTTGGCCGACGGAGGGTCTCACGTTCTTGAAGGATGTTGTTTTGGCGTAGGTCCGACTGCACTTATATCATCACCCTTCGGGCGATAAGGAGGTTTTGGGGGAAGGAACAAACGTTCCACAATCGATCTCATCATCGATCTCACTATCGATCTCACTATCAATCTCATCATCGATCTAACTATCCATCTCACTGTCGATCTCACTATCATCATTGGTAACTATCAGTATCGATCTCACTACGTATTTCCTGGTGTGGGGGGGGCTCTCCTTTTCATTGCGATCTCAACCCCCATCATCACCAATACATCGATTTGGTCGCGCGCAGGAGGTGGCTCCTCTGCTGGTCACGCTGCCGGCTCGAACTCAGTTCCGCGGCTGGTTCGGTCGGCTTTGGGTCTTGCTGTCGCCCTGGACGGCCTCCGTCGTCCTGGAGGGACGGGAGCTGCAGACATCGCTGCGCCGGCCCAGGGCCCAAGAGCGGGCATGTGATCGTCGTCTTGTTCGTTGTGTTTTGCCTATCGGCGCGCGCCCTCGCACCCCCCCCTCCCCCTCCCCGTGGAGTAGATTTTGGCTGTTTTGGGCGCCTGTTTCGAGCAGGTGGAGTCTCCCGCATAGGACGCACTGCTGCAAACAGTCGCACTGAGCAGAGGTCTGGAGCCAGACCTCCCCCCTCCCACCCCCTTCCGCCCAATGTCGAAACGCCGAATACGAAACCGCTCACCGTGCGCGTCGCCACGGAGGAGCGGGGCTTCGAGGGGCGTGGGCCCGATGGGAGATGCGATGCGGTGCGATGCGACCACCGTTGCGGACAGCGCCCGGGCCTACTCATGACAGGGTGGGCGAGGCCGTGGCCTCGGGAATCTGGCGTGTCTGGACAACATGCGATGCGAGACCCATGCGCAAAACATAAGAGGAGGGACGGAGGAAGGATAGTCCTTGGGGTCTTTCGCCTTTCTGTGCGGGATCCCCGGGCCATCCATGGGCTTCCCCCGGGACTGCCCACGAATACGGCTCGGGGCGGCGAGCTGGTCCTGGGGCGAAGGCCCAGGGGCCCACAGGGAGGAGGAGGAGGAGGAGGAGGAGAAGAAGGGGGAGGAGGAGGAGCAGGAGGAGGAGGAGAAGGAGGAGGAAGGCCCATGGGGTCCCAGGGAAAGACCCAGGGAAAGACCCAGGGATGAGACCAGTAGGGTAACGAAGAATGACATACGCATAAAATCTCGGAGGTCCGCGCGGATTTTTTGGATCGGCGTTGGACCCCCCCCCCGGCGCGCGGAACGCGCCAGGGGCGGCGTGAGATGCGCCGCCAGGGGTCTCCAGCGCCGACCCGAGAAATCCGCGCGGACCTATGAGTTTTGTCATTCTTCGTTCCCCTATTATTCAGGGTTGCTCGTACAGCGTTTCAACTGAAATCCACGAGCGCCTGGAAGGCCGACCTCGCCTCTCCTCCTCCTCCTCCTCCTCCTCCTCCTCCTCCTCCTCCTCCTTCTCCTCCTCCTCCTCCTAGATCAAGGGCCCTGGGGGGAAGGCCCAGGGAGCCAGAGGCCCTGCTGAGCCCAGGGGTGGGGGGCTACCCTCCGGGGCTCACAGGGGATTTTAATGCAAGGGTAAGTCGTGGGTATCCACATTGTGTTGTAGTTACTCCCGAGACAGCAACAGCAACAGCCACAACAACAACGACGGCAACAACGACAACGACAACGACAACAACCACAACAGCAACACCAACAATCTTTTTGAGACTGCTCGCTCTTATCTGCCTGTGGGCCATTCAACACGTATATCCAATACCCTCGATACCGGACTTCTTCGTCTCCGATCATGTCCCTTTTGGGGTATATTCCCAAATCAGTGTTTGCAATGAAGGGGTCCTCGACGATGTTGCTAGAGTTAGCGAAAGTACCTCACCGATTTTGGTGGCACGCTGGGTTCCGGGGTTCTCGGTCCCGGGTTCCCGGGTTCCCGGGTGCCTGGTCATTGGTTCAGGGGCGATGGTTCATTACCGATCTCACTGTCGAGTTCATTACGAATCTCATTGGTTCCCGGGTTCCCGGTTCCGGGTTCCCGGGTTCTTGATCATTGGTTCCGGGCCGATGGTTATCTATCGATCTCATTACAGATCTCATTGTCGAGTTCATTACGGATCTCATTCAATGTTGAAAGATTTGGCGAAATTGCCCCGCCGATTTTGGTAGTTCCCGGGTTCCCAGTTCCTGGATCTGGGTTGCTGGTTATTAGTTTTGGGCCGATGGTTAATTATCGATTTCATTACCGATCTCATTGTCAAGTTCATTAAGGATCTCATTAAGTTGACCTCACGTACTGTTCCCACTAACGATCTCAATACCGACAGATCGTCCCCTTTATCGATCTCACAATCGATCCTACGACCTAAGTATCGGTCCCACCATGGATCTCAATATCGACATATCGTCCCCACTATCGATCTCAAAATCGATCCCACGATCGATCTCGCGACCGAATTTACTATCGATCTCACTACCGATCTCACGGTCGATTTCATTACGGATTTCTCTTAATCGATTTGAGTATCGGTCTCAATATCGGTCTCAGAATCGACAGATCGTCCCCATTATCGATCTCACAATCGATCCCACGATCGATCTCGCGGTCGAACTTACTATCGATCTCACTACCGACCTCACTGTCGATCCCACGATTCCTGTTACTATTCAGTTGTTTCCTCAATCAATGCTTTTACTGGAAGGATTTGCGGATGTCCTCGCGGATGTTGAAGGGGTCTTCGCGGGTGTCTCCTTGTTACTGAAGGGGTCCTCGCGGATGTTGAAGGATTTGGCGAAAGTGCCCCGCCGATTTTGGTCGCACGCTGGGTTCCTAGGTTCCAGGGTTACCGTTTCTGGGTTCCCGGGTTCCCGGTTCCGGGTTCCGTGCCGGTTTGGGAGGGCGGCGAGGTTCCCGGGTTCCCGGGTTCTCGGTCGATTTTTTATCGATCGGTCTCACCATCGATCTCATGACCGATTTCTTTATCGATCTCACCATCGATCTCACTATCGATTTCATTACCAATCTCACAATCGATCTCACTAGAGATCGCATCAGCGATCTCGCGATCGATCTCATTATCGATCTCATTGAATCGATGTCACTCTCGGTCTCTCGATTGACCTTACAATCGTCCTCACTATCGATTACACTATCGATCTCATTATCGATAGCACAATCGATCTCAGGATCCAGGGCATCAATTTTCAAATCATCCACTGATTGCATTTTCTCAGGTGTAATATCTTTCTTACTTGCAACTTGTATTTCGTGCAGTCCCCAAGGTAGGGAAAAAGAGGACGGATGGAAGGAAGGAACAAGGGTGAGGGAGGAGGATGTAGCACGAGAAAGAATAGCAGGAGTGGAGCTAGGAGCAGAAAACACGCGGCAGAACCAGACGGGCAGATCGGGCGGGTAGACAGTAACGGGCGGATCGCGAAGGCGGGCCCAGGCGGCCAGGTCGAGCAGGCAGGTTGTTGAAGCCAGCGTCCTGCATGAGTCGCGAGGAAGTCTGGAGCGATAGCGCGCTTGCAAAATAAATCGTGATTAGCTACAGCCAGAGCGTGATTCCTGAGTGTCGAGGGCGCGGCGTCTGAATAAATTGTGAGGAAGTCCCACGCGAGAGCGCGACGTGAGGACGACCCGCGCGAGAGCGCGATGTGGGAATCAATTGTGAGGAAGTATCAGACGGCAGCCGTCGGTGCTGTTGTTGTTGCTGGTGTTGTTGTGGTTGAGTTTTCTTTTCTGAAGAATTAATGATTGTGGATCCCCTGTCACTGGAGCGTATAATTTTGTCTCAATGAACAGCATTGGCAGGGAAAGTCTTGACACTCGGTTTTTTGACAGGGAAAGTCTTGATGGTCAAACTGTGCCCTGGCCTCTGGATTACAGCAACAACGGCTCCCGCCTGAGACTTCTTCCAAATTTACTCAGGACCCCCGCCCCTCAGACTTCCTCACAATTTACTCAGGATCGGTGCTCCCGCCTGTGACTTCCTCGCAGTTTAGTCATGCCCCCCGCTCCCATCTAAGACTTCCTCGTTATTTGCTCAGGAACGGCGCTCCCGCTTGAGATTTCCTCGCGGTTGAATCAAGACTTCCTCGCAATTTAATCAAGCTCCCTCGCCAGAGAACCCTTCACGTTTGATGCAGAAATTGCGCTCTCGCCCGTGACTTCCATGCAATGTATTCAGAAATCGCGCTTTCGACACTCAAGAAACACGCTGCGCCAAGGACGCAATTTCAACTTACTTAGTAATCGCGCTCTCGCCATACTCTGGCATCCCGCTTCAATGTCACACCCGCCCGACCCGCCCGTCAGGGGATCGCCTGCCCGTCGTGGGTTCCTTCCCGAGGCTTCCTTCAGGAACGGCGCTTTTGCCTAGGACCTCGTCGAACGCTCACGCTCTTACCTTCCTGCTCATCCTCCCTCTCCATCCTCCCTCCTCTCCTCCATTCTCTCTCTCTCTCTCTTTTCTCTCTTTCTCTCTCTCTCTCTGTGCTCTCTCTTCCCAACTCCTTATGCCTCTGTGCCCTAGCCCCTCTTTCTCCTCTCCCTCCTCCCTTTCCTTCCCCATCGCCTGCCTCCTCCCTCCCTCTTTCTGTCTTTCTCTCCCCTCTCTCTTTCTCTCTTTGTTTTTCTCTCTCTCTCTCTCTCTCTCTTTTTTGTCTCTCTCTCTCTCTCTCTTTCTCTCTCTCTCTCTCTCTCTCTCTCTCTTTCTCTTTCTCTACATATCTTATCTGTCTTTCTCTCTCTCTCTCTCTCTTGCTTTCTCCTCTGCCTCTAATCAACCGCCCCCCTCTTCGCTCCGTGTCTCCTGGCGTTTTCCCTCTTTCTTCGTCCCTCCCCCTCCCCTCCTCCCAGTCTCCCTCGTTTTCCCCCTCTTCTTTTTGCAGGGCGCACACCAATTCCAATGGCGGGCACATGTGCGCCCATGAAGGATTATCCGCCCGTTCAGGTTTGCCCGTCTGTCTAAGCCCGCCGCCCCCGCAAAGAGAACGAATCCCCCCAAAGGGGATGTGATCGAACACAAAAAGGGCGGGGATCGAGGGTGTGGGGAATTCGTTTTGAATGACACGCGGGCAAATAAGAGCGAGCAGTCTTATAATGATTGTTGTTGTTGTTGTACTTTGGGGGCCAAGGGCCCTGTTTGGTGACCCCTCGCTCCCCCTTGTGAAACACAGGGTGCAAGCCCCAGGGGGAACAGTTCAATTGAAGAACCACGTGCCCCAGAAGCGGGGCGGACCAACAACATTTATTTGTTGAGCAACGCCGGCACTAGCAGCAGCAGCAGCAGCGCCATCAGCAGCAACAGCAGGAACAACAACACCAGCAACAGCAACAACACCAATAGCGAGGGATCCCGCCTGGGAGGCCCCGCCCTGTTCGAAGGCCGCCTCTCTCGCGCCACCCCCCTTTGCGCGCGCCGCCGGGGCCTCTTCCTTCGCGTCTCCCCTACCTGCCTGTGTGTCCTCGGAAGCCGAGGGCCCCTCCCGCCAAAGACCGCAGGCGCGGAAGACCTCCCTGCTGTTTTTTGCTTCGCGCGCACTGGATGTCCGGGGCCAAACCTCCCTGCCCCCCAACCCTCCTCCTCCTCCTTGTTCCTCCTCCTCCTCCTCCTCCTCCTCCTCCTCCTCCTCCTCCTCCTCCCCCGCCTCCTCTTCTCCTTCTCCTCCTCCTCCTCCTGCTCCTGCTCCTCCTCCTCCTCCTCCTCCTCCTCCTCCCCCTCCTCCTCCTCCTCCTCCGCCTCCTCCTCTTCTCCTTCTCCTCCTCCTCCTGCTCCTCCTCCTCCTCTTCCTCCTCTTCCTCCTCCTCTTCCTCGTCCTCCTCCTCCTCTTCCTCCTCCTCCTCCTCCTCCTGCTCCTCCTCCTCCTCCTCCTCGTCCTCGTCCTTCTCCTCCTCCTCAGCCGTTTCGGCTCGAGTTGATTCGAGTGAACCTCGGGCTTGTGTCCCACGTCTTCGGAACGGCGCGTGGGCACGGGCCAATTTGTGCAACGTCGTGTGTGCGGCCAGACCGCTTTCCTCTTCCGCGGGCATCCCCGCTTTCATGGCACCGCCGAATGGCCACGCGCAACGGCGCCAGGAGATGGCGCAGCAGTGGTTGTGTAAGTGGTGCAAGCATCCTGCTACTGGGCAGCGTTGGTGGAATCATGCAGACAAGAAGGAGTGTGGGTCCTGCGCGCAGCCCAAGGGCCTGGTTTTCTTCGGCCCAAGGCCCCATCCAGGTGGTTCGCCGTCGGTCTCTGCGAAGCAGAAGGCCTCCGAGGCTGAGCGCTCCACCAAGTCTGCCTTGCAGGAGAAGAACCGGGATATTGCCAGGCTCAAGGAGCAGCTGGCAGCCAAGAGCGGTCACCCAGACGCCATAGACGTCGACGCCGAGCCCACAGAGCCAGATGCCCAGGCGGCGCTGGCCGAGCTCGCCGCGGCCATCCAGGCGATCGGGAAACCGACCGACCCGATCCCTGTCAAGGCGAAGCAGGACATGGCGCAGCAGCAAGTTGCTCTCCGTGCGAAGGTGCTGGCCGACAAACCGATCGGGACGAAGATGCACCTCCTCACCAACAAGTGCTCCACGCTGGAGAAGAAGCGGGAGCGCCAGGAAGCTCAAGGAGCAGCTGGTCGCGGTCCAGAAGCAGATCGTCGAGGCTGAGGCAGCCGTGGAGGCGACTGGCCGTGGGCCCGCGGAGGTGGAGGCCGCGCGGGCCGCAGCTGCGGCACAGGCGCCCTTGCCCAAACCTGGCGTCCACTCGCTTCGCGCTGCCACCCCGTGCCTCGACATGGACGTCGGCGCGCTCGGCCAGCTCCTCCAAGGGCTTGGCGCGGACGGCAGCCTTGCAGAGAGTGGTTCGAAGAATTTCGAGGAGTTGCGCAAGTTGGAGCGGGCAGCCGCGGAGCGGGCAGCCGCCGAGCGCTCCGCAGGGGCCGCCGCGCACGCTGGGCCAGGCGGTGCACCGCAGCCCCAGCAGCAGCCTCCTGAGGGCCCCGCAGATGAGGATCCGCACGGTCCTGGCCCTGATGACGATGATGATCTGCCAAACCTACAGTTCTTCTGGAGGGAGATGTGCTGCAGAGTCCCAGTCGAGCCCCGTGCGCTTCCTGTCACGCCCAAAATCGGGTGTGGCCGCTTCCCCCCAGTAGCGGGATGGCGCATGATCAACCACATGTGCGTGAATGCCCAGACTCCAGATGACCTGGCGGTGTGCTGGGATGCGGCTCTCTCAGGCCTTGAAGCCGAAGTTATGGGTCGGAATGATATTTTGGAGAGTTCAGTACGTAAGGTTTATCTTGGAAGGGCAGGTTCACCGCAGCATGCTTGGAAGGAGGCCAACTCTGCGAATCCCAACAAACCGTCTGATCTCAACGCCTGGAAGACCCTGGTGAGATGGCGTCGTTACCTCAGATCGGCTCGCGTTACGTTGCTGTCACAAGTGGCCCGCCTCCACGAAGGCGACTTTGAGCACAACCTCATGCCCATGTCCAAGCAGCTGCATTTCCTGCACGGGTTCGCGCGTAGAGCGGCCAAGACCCACTGGGCGCTTGAGCGAGTGACGCCTGAAGCCAAGGCTTTCATGTCCGACGTGCCGGGTAGCATCGTCGACCTCAACTTCGACCAAGTTGCGCAGTCCATGATCGACCTCGCAGGTGCCATGTTCCAGGAGTGGTTGACTGCATCAAGCAGCGAGTGGCCGGATTGGGCAGAAAAGGCTTTCAAACATGGGGCGCGTGCCGCGCACAGGTTCTCAAGGATCAGGGAGTTGCAGGAGCTTGCAGCTGCAGAGACCAGGCCTCAGCCTTTCCAGCGTGCAGATGATTGTATCGGGGAGTGGGACAAGGTTTGGAGTATGTATGAGTGCACCGCAGCCCCGATGCCTCAAGGTGCTGACAAGTGGGATAGCATACCGACAATCACGGTCACAGACATCCGCCGTGCTGCTGCGTCGTTCCCGTCACGAATGGCGTCGGGGCGCTTGGCTTTCAACCCGAAGGCGCTGCTCCAGGTGTCCGACGTAGGCCTGGAGGTCCTTGCGTCTCTGTTCACGGCATGTGAGAGGATGGGCTCATGGCCTGCAGACCGCATTCACACCCGCTTGATTCGGCTTGGCAAGCCAACAGGCGGACACCGCCGCATTGCTCCACTTAATTCGCTGCTGCGTCTGTGGGGCAAGATTAGGAAGCCAGTCTCGCAAGAGTGGGAACGTTCACACCGTCACCCATTGTTCTGGGGAAACGGTCACAGAGCCAGCTCTACGGACGCAGCATTCGATCATAACGTGGAGGCGGAGGTGGCGACTCTTCGGGGGAGTACTCGGTGAGTGTGCTTCTTGATATGTATACATGCTACGAATGCATTATAGTCCCTCGGCTTTTAACAGAGGCGTGCGAGCTAGCGTATCCCATGACAATGATGTGGATGCTTCTCTCGTTGTATCGGTGTCCCTGTCTTGTCCAGGCGTTCGAGTCTGTGTCGTGTTGTGTTGTTACGCACCAAGGGATACTTGCTGGCTGCAGCCGCGCCAACACGATGATGCATCTGCTCCTTCACCGCGTGATCTGCAAGATGCGCATACTCTACTTAACTGTCCAGCCGCGAATCCCCATGGATGACTCTAGCTTCCAGTGGGTTGGCAGGCGGCTGTGCGAGTGCAAAGTGCTGCTGGCCGCCGTGAGGCGGTACTGCCATCAAGTTTTTTCTTTCGGTCTGATTTTGCAGGTTCTCAAGAGTGGGTTTGTAGCTACCGCAGCTAAAGCGTCATCCAGAGTGTCGTCGTCGGCTCGTGTCATCAGACTGCGGAGCTACACCCACATGCGGAACCTGGGCCACGAAGTCTTCTCGGAGAGACCTCAAAGGGCCCAGGGGAATGCTAGGCTCAGTGAAGTATTTCGCCGCCGTCCTAAGCTTGCCGCGCTGCGTCGCGGTGCTCCAGGGAAGGTACAGATGCTCTGGGGGACTGGCTTGATGCCAGCAGCAGGTCACGGCGCGGGAGTCAGTGGACTCACAGACCCATCTTTGAAGGCGCTGCGTACTTTGGCTGGGTCTCTTGTAGGTGCCAGACGCTCTGGGCCCCTCACAGCTTGACTGGCCACGCAGGTTGACCCGGTCTACGATCCCATTTTCGATGCGACGGCGCCTCTGATACAGCGATGCGCCGGCATGATTTGGGGCGCCAGATTTTCGTTAGGACGTTTGCAGAGAGCGTGGGTGCAGATGCGTGACAAGATTTCTAGCAGGCCCACATGGAATTCATGCCGTGGACCTGTCAGCGCGGCGCTCCTCTCGCTTCAGCGAATGGGCTGGTCCATGGCAGCAGCGCGCGTCGTCGCATCAGATGAAGGTGTGGCTTTCAAACTGCTGCGCGGCTCTCCTCACGATTTGAGGATTGAGCTCCAGGCAGGCATCCAGCGCTGGCAAGCAAGATGCATGTTGAAGCACCTGCCCGAGGCCGTGGGCGGAGAAAAGCTCTGGCTGCGCTCGATGCGCATCGGGGTGCTCAGTGTCCGCGACGCTGCGCGTAGAGGAGCCCTTCGATGCCTGTTGGGGCATGCGATGTGGCCTCCACAGCGCAAGTTCGAAGCGGGATGCGCCGGCAGTGATATATGCACGTTTTGTGACAGACAGGTGGTGGGGTCTCTTGGTCACCAGATATACGATTGCGATCCTGTGCTTGACTTCCCAGGCAGGAATGATCAAGTTATTCCAAGCGACGTCCTGGAGCGCAGGTCCGAGCTTAGGGGCACAGGGGAGTTTAGGGGGTGCTGCATTGGGGCGCCCTTGAGGTTCTTTATGGGCTTCCGATGGTCGCCTTCCCCCTCAGCCCCGTCCCCGACGAGTTCCCTGTCTGCCCCTGGGGCGCCACCGAGGCGCCTTGGGGAAGGATCATCTACACCGACGGTTCGGGTCTGGCCAGTTCCAGCCCCGAACTGCGAAGGTGTGGTTG